CTTTGATAGGCAAGTGGAACACTGTTTTATCCGACCACCCACGCACGCCTCCCTCGGCAGGACCTCAGGAAAAGCATGATTGAACTCAACCTGGAGCTAAAATTAGTTTCCCGCCAGGGAGCACAGCCAGACCTCCCTCTGCTCAACTCCTGATAACAGGTTTCTGATCTTTTTTTATTGTCTTCATGGAGAAAATCTAAAGCTACTTTTGGAGCTGGGGGGAGGCAGTGAACAGACTCATTGTGAGCAGGGGAACTGGCAGACCTATAAACTCAGCTAAGCATCCCATCTTGCGAACATAAGAAGTCTGTCTCCAGATCCCCACCTGACATTCACACCAGGGAAGGCCAGGCCCACCCCCTCTATACTGCCTGAGATCTCTGAGTTGAGGTATGACCCCAAAGAATAGATTCTCGACACCTCCAAAGACGTGACACATCCGGGGACATGAGGGTGGCATGCTCACAAAACTAATGCCACAGGACTGTCTGCCTCAGAGAAGCAGCCAGTAAGAGTGAGGCCTCAGCCAGAGTCGCTGGTGAGGAGGAACATTAACTATGTATAGATGTGTTGTTACATTTGTTTACATTGTAGAAGGCAGCCAGTAAGAGTGGGGCCTCAGCCAGGGTCGCTGGTGAGGAGGAACATTAACTATGTATAGATGTGTTGTTACATTTGTTTACATTGTAGAAGGCAGCTAGTAAGAGTGAGGCCTCAGCCAGGGTCGCTGGTGTGGAACATTACTTTAACTATATAAATGTGTGTTACATTTGTTTATGCTACATTTGTTTATTATGTAAAGATGTGTTGCTGTTTCACCTTGCCTGCCTAAGGCACTTGACTGGGCTAATAAAAAGCTGAACAAATAACAACAAAAAAAACCAACAACAACAACAAAAAAACCTCTCAGCTATCTCTCCAGCACCATGTCTGCCTATATGCTGCTGTGTCCCACCATGATGACAATGGACTAATCCTCTGGACTGTGAGCCAGCCCCAATTAAATGTTTTCCTTTATAAGAGTTACCACGGTCATGGTGCCTCTTCACAGCAATAGGAACCCTAGTTAAAACTTAAAAAATAGAAATAAAATAAAAAGCTAGGCAGTAGAGGGATAGGCAGGGCTGGCGGGGAGAGAGAATAAGCAGGAGGAGGAATCTAGGCTTGAGAAAGAATGAGAAGGAGATGCCTGGTACCAGCTTCCAGGCAGTAGCTAGCCAGACAGACACAGAGGAAAATATACAGAATGAAAGAAAGGTAAAAAGTGATGAAGAGAAACGGGTTAAAATAAGTTATAAGAGCTAGCAAGAAACGGCTTAATATAAGGCCAAGCATTCGTAACTAATAAGTCTCTATATCATGATTCAGAAGCTGTTTAATGGCCCAAAAGGAAGTCTGCTACATACAGGTCACAGCCACACAAAGTGGGATTTGTCCTTTGAACCCCAACAGGAAAATTCAAAACTTGAAGGGATAAATTGATTTGAAAATGATAGGGTTGGGGACTGAGTGGGAGATCACTTGCTTAGTATGACCAAAGCTTGGGTTCAATCTACATTAAAAACAAAACAAAACAAAACAAAAAAAAGGCAGGGTCAATTGAACCTATTTTTTTTTAGACAAGAAGCAATTGTGACAACCTCAACAGGCAAGGCAAGAGAGTGGTACCCGGCACCCTTGTAGATGCTTTGGTGTGGGATGCAGCAGACTATGACAGTGGGAAGTCTTTGCTGGAAGCAGAGATGCAGAGAAAGGACCCTTTCCAGCCTCTGCTGCAGCTCTTTTAGAGAGTGGTGAACAGGACAGACTCTGACTGTAGCATCAGAAGGTCCCCACTGAGGTTTCTGGAGGATTTGCAGGAAGCTGTAGCACACTGGGGTGAGGGGATCTCTCCATGTCACACCTCACAAACAGCAAGGTTTCTTCTGCCTCCGGCTTCAACTCTTGCTTACTCACATCTGAAACCTAAGGCTCACCTTTTAAAATAGCAACCCAGCAGAGTAAGAAGTTACCCAATAAGTCGGTAACTGAGCTAACAAAGATGCAAGAAATAGACCACCAGGAACACTGACTCTGCTGAGGCCGTCTGGGTATCCCTGGGGAGTAAGCAGAAACTACTGTGTGAAAAAATAAACAATCATTGGGTTTCTTAGCACCAAGTATTAATATCTTGACACTAGTCCAAGAGATAAGGTACTAGACTTAAAAAGGGTTTCCAGATAATTATGCTTACCTCTTAGTGTGTCGACTCTTTTTCAAGATGTATATCTCAATTAAATTTCATATCACCCAGACTCACAATAAGACAGATTTTTTTACATAGTAAGAGGACACCCTCTCCAACAGCAAGGAAAACACAGTGTTATGAATATTCAACTGCACGGCATGTACAGATTCTTGCCCTCTTAAAACTGTATGCAAAACGCCTGTGCATGTGAGCATGTGTGTTTTCCTAGGCAAAAGTCCCTGTCTGAATGTTTCAAAGGGACCAAGAAAGGAAGGGACTGCTGAACTGAGTGTTTGAGATGGCCAGCAGGTCTGTCCTGGGCTGACCTGCCTGGGGCACCGGCAGGTCCTAGGCCACGCGTTCCTTCTCTGCATTCTTATTGGGCACATGCCACCCACACTGTTCTTACCCCACTTTTGTAAGCTCTTTCTCTCTTCTAGCTGTTTTTGTTCCTTATGTTTCTGCCACTAAACCTTCATTCCTAGGGTGCAGATAAGCATCCTTTTTTTTTCCCTCTGAGAGGCAAAGGTGTTTAACAGATTATGTGTGCCCTTGTACTTTTTAATATTTGTTGTCAGCTTCATTTCTTTCCCCATACCTAGGCTTGTTCTAGCTTCCTTTAGGTTTGTAGGTTTCTTAGGATGTTGAGGATGGATGTTTGGTTGCTAAGGACATCCTTAGGAGCAAGTCTATTGATCTTAGTAACGTAGATTCCAAAAGTCCATGAATATACATGAATACACAGACACATGCACACACCCAGTCAGTCTGCAGAAACTTCCGGAAAGTGGAGCTACCTTGTCTCTTTTCCAGCTCATATTCGTGTATGGAATATTTACAGCTCCAATCTGAGTTGAGATTTGCAAGAAATATTTAGTACTTGCTCAGCAAGGCATTCTTGATCATGCTCTATAAATGGGATGATGGCAAAGGCGCCATAAAGAAAGACTAAAGAAAATGTTACTGCGTCTCCCTTACTAGCGGTGTGCAGGATGGAAAGAAGGGTACCAAGAACACAGGAGAGCCAGCGTGTGAACCGAGCTGCACCTGCGAGTGACAGGGGAGCCAGTGTGTGATCTGAGCTGCACCTGCGAGTGACAGGGGAGCCAGTGTGTGATCTGAGCTGCACCTGCATGTGACAGGGGAGCCAGTGTGTGAGCCGAGCTGCACCTGCGTGTGACAGGGGAGCCAGCGTGTGATCTGAGCTGCACCTGCGTGTGACAGGGGAGCCAGCGTGTGAGCCGAGCTGCACCTGCGTGTGACAGGGGAGCCAATGTGTGAGCCGAGCTGCACCTGCGTGTGACGAGGAGCCAGTGTGTGAGCCGAGCTGCACCTGGGTCTTACAGGGGAGCCAGCATGTGAGCCGAGCTGCACCCGGGTGTGATGGGGGAACCAGGGTTACTAGTAGCGTGTGAACGGAGCAGCACACAGGTCTGATAGGGGTACCTGCGTGTGACCAGAGCTGCACGGGGATGTAACAGGAGAATCAGTGTGTGAGCCAGGTTGCACTCGGGTGTGACAGGCCCAGGGAAGAGGAAAAGCTCTGTCAGATGTCAATCCCTGGGAAAGAGCCCTAGCCCATGCTTCAAAGCAAGAACCCAAGTACTTGAACTACTCTACCACATCTCAAAAGCTAAGATGCAGGCACTTTTACAAACATCAAAACATGGGGCTAGAGGGATGGTTCTACAGTTAAGAGGACTAGCTGTTCTTACTGAGGACCCAGGTTCAAGCCCCGGCACCCACGTGGCAGCTTATACCCATCTGTAAACCCAGTTCTGGAGTATTTGATGCCATCTCTGACCCCACCCCCACCCCAGGCTACAGGCATGTACAGCGTGTACTTATATTCATACACATAAATGAATCTTAAGAAATACTGAAAAATTGGAATGTATGATTTCCATTCTTCTATCATGGAAGCTGCTTCATGGTTTGAGGGTGAAGACAGTGAAAACTTTAGTTTTTTTTTTTAATTTGTGTACATGTATGTACGTGAGGTGTATGCTTGAATTTGTGTACATGTATGTACGTGAGGTGTATGCTTGGATGGGTGGTATACGTGCCCATGTGTGTGCATGGATACTTGCGTCCACGCCTGTCGTGAGTCCGGAAGAGGACATTGGGTGTCCTGTCTTAGCATTTTCCATCTTATTCCCTCGAGGCAGGGTCACTCTCTCCACTCGGAACTACGCTGACCACTAGCAAGCCCCCAGCAATCCTACCGTTTTCATCTATAACTTCCTTCCTATCCTTCTACCACCCCACCATGGATCTTCTTGCCTCCACTGTACTCCCAAGCCCAGCGGCATATGTGTGATCCCACCTAGCTTCTTAATGGGTTCTGGGGATTTGAACTCAGCTCGTCAAGTTTATGCAGCAAGTGCCCTTACCCAGTGAGCTACCTCCCCAGCATTGGTCAGTTTTATAAGTCACCATAATAGGCAGTGGGGTTGGGAGCAGAAGGGGGAAAGATACAATTCTAAGGAAAGCTAGGAGAATAGCAGACAATATAAAAATAACTGAAATCGAGGTATATACACATAACAAGGGACAGACACAGCAACTTTTCAAAACCTAAGACATGAGTGAAAACACTCAAATTGGAAGATTAGCATCTATGCCTGAGAGGCACAGGAGGGAAAACAAGCAAGGAGCCATATTTGAGCAGAGCCGATTGCACAATCAACGCCTAACTTCGTCTCATGCCCAAGTGCTCGTACCCACGATGGATGACTCTGCCCGAGACCCGTGACTATGACAAACTCCTCACCTCACTGCAGGCATCAGCCGGGAGGTGTGACGGCTTTGCTTCTTCATCTAGTGGCTCGAGCACTGTCACCTCTGCAAACTCTTCCACAGACTCTTGAAACTCGGGTAGAGATCTTCGTCCATAACGCTTGCCACCTCTAACATATTTGGGCTGAGCCTCTAAGCAGTCTGGACAAGGAGACAAGAGTTAAGGCCACGTTACATGAGAAGTAGCTACAAGCTGACGCTTGTGGGATACAGCCCAGAAATAATCCAGCCCTGTGGGCCAGCCGCGGTGGCCAGAGGCGTGTGTGAGTCCTCAGGTTGGATGCAGTGAGGTTTCTACTTCTGATGGTCCGCAGTACCTGCATCCATGCATCTGTGAGTTACAGAAGCGATGATAGCAGAAAGAAATGGGTTGAGAAGCTCATACTAAGGTCAGGAGGGCTGGGCATGTATTGGTAGAGTGCTTATCTAGCAATCACAGGGTCCTGGGTTCGATCCCCAGCACCCTGTGAACTGGGTATGGTGGTCTTCCAGTAATCCTGCCCTCAGAAAGTAGAGGCAGGAAGTCCCGAACCTCGGTGTCCTCAGTTACACAGTGAGTTCGGAACCAGCTGGGGCTACAGGGAACTCCCTATCAAAAAGGGGATACAGGAGTTGATGACATTTGATTTTCTGTTTCTTAAGCTGGTGGCTTTAAGCATGGGAAGGCAAAAGAAGTAGAAAAAGAGAAAAAAATATCTAATCAAAAGACAGCTTCTAGTAAGTCCTGGACCTTGCACAGTTTGAGAAATTAGTGTCCACACCAATTAATACAAAACATCCTCCCTCCCACTTTAGGGATCCCTTTATCAAATGTTCTACTTTCTGATCTACCAGATAAGCAGAGCAGCACAAAAACCAAACTGACACTGAGAAATCTAATCAATTATTGACAGCTCCTCACTGCTGTGAAACCTGGCATCAAGATTTCATTATAATATTATAAAATTGAAAGCTGTGGAATAAAATAGTAAGTGGAAGGCCACATTAAGAAAAAATGCTATTGCTGGGCAGCGGTGGTGCAAGCCTTTAATCCCAGCCCTCAGGCAGAGGCAGGCGGAAGTCTCTGAATTCAAGGTCAGCCTGGTCTACAGAGTGAATTCCTGGACAGCAGGGACTATTACAAGGAGAAATCCTGTCTAAAAAAAAAAAAAAAAAAAAAAAAAAAAAAAAAAAAAAAAACACAAAGAAAAGAAAGGAAAATGGTATCCTGCTTCTTTTGTTTTCAATGTCAATGACCTGTAAATAAAAAGAGCCACACCCAAGGGAGTTATCTCGGTCTCTGAAGAACCCTGGTGTTCTGGAGTACCACTTCTCAAGTTCAACAACTACCACTTTTCACTTTCGCCACGCCAGCCCTCCCACCAAGCACCCCGTCTACAACCACCACCTCTACTGCCGCCACAGGCGCCAAGTCATCCGCGACCACCTCCACCAGCCAGCCCCTCACACTCTACTCTGAAGCTTTAAAGCAATAAAGATAAATACTTCACTCCGCTCAAATGCCATCCTCAAGATTTGCAAGTGCTTTGCGTAGTTTTAGGGGAAATAAATAAAATATTCTATTAAAATACAAAAGACTGGCAATGATCTATTGCCTTACTGTCTGTCTCTACAGACACACTGACTTTCGGGAGGACACACTCTAGGTCCTGTTTGAACATGACAGTCTGGGCACACTCCAGAACTCAGACACAAGTGCTTTAAATGACATGTGTACATATATCATCAGGGCAAGCGTGTGTAATCAGATATGAGCTGAAAGAATAAAAACCCTTCTTTAACTCACAATGGAAGCATGGTTGGGGTGGTGGACTCTGACTTCAGCATCCCTGGGAAGGCAGATCCCTGTTTACCTGTCCACCTTCCCCCTGTGTCCTTCCTTGGTGCTCACAGATGCAACCAGGAGCATTCTGAAATGTTCAGGAAAGCTAAGAGTGAAGTATTTATGATAGCTATGCAATTTCCAGCAATATTAATATACAGCTCTTTATAAGTCCCAGCCAAGACATTCCATTGGATGGAGCGATTCTCTTCCAGGAAGTGTTTAAGTATACACAATTTGTATTGAAAACGGCATGCACACTTGAAGGTACCTGTCGTCAGAAGTGAGTGTGTCAGCCTGTGTGTGTTCAGGAGTGGCACAGACACCGGAGCTCCCGGTTGGCAGCGGACACCCACAGGTGCTGGTCAGACAGGAAGCAATGCAGAGGCATCCTTAATTTATTAGGTGGTCTTAAATTTTTGTGGCAGACACAGGATACACCATTAGTGACTATGAGGGCTTAGAAAGGATTAATAGGGAAATGTATAACCCAGGGCGTTCCAAGAATGAGAATTAGGTTGTAGCTGGGGATAGAAGAGGCAGTGGAGGTTTTTTTTTTTTTTTTTTTGGTTTTTGGTTTTTCGAGACAGGGTTTCTCTGTGGCTTTGGAGCCTGTCCTGGAACTAGCTCTTGTAGACCAGGCTGGTCTCGAACTCACAGAGATCGGCCTGCCTCTGCCTCCTGAGTGCTGGGATTAAAGGCGTGCGCCACTACCGCCCGGCCAGAGTTCTTATTGTGAGGTGCACTGCTTCTAAAATGAAAAGTATGGGAAGTGACAGCCTCTGCAGACTCCACCAGGGATGGGGTTCCTAAGCTTACCTGTGGGTAAGGTGGCCCCCTGGCTATTAACTCTCCCATCTGTGATGGTAGGGAACATTGATGGGGCCTAAACACCTCTCCTTCTAAACAAAACAAAACAAAACAAAAAAAATGTGGGCCAATTGTGAACTGCTGGGAAATGATGTCAATTTGGGGGTTTACTTATTTACTTATTCTTTTTTAATTTCAGGAACTTTAAAACCCCTTAAATTATATTTTATTGTAACAGCCAATTGCAAGAAAATTTTAAGATTACTTCTATATATGTATATAGAGAGAATCTATATGTGTATATACACCTACACACATATCTAATCAGCTCATGTGTGTGTGTTTCCAGTCCCTAAGCAAACTTTACTAGAATGAAGATGTTAGCATGCACATAAAAAGGTGGATTATTACAGATTACTTGTCAGAGTTTCTCAAACCCCACATGGCTAATACAAACCAGGCCACTACAGCAGTTAGCAATGGTTACCCCTCGGCATCACGCACTCACACACCCCTCTTCTGAGAACATCAGCATCATTTGGCTTACATGAGGGAAGGAGAGACCCTGCAAGGTCAACAGCCTTGGCTGCGGGGAGCCTTTGAGAACTACGAATCCCTCCAGCGAAGTCAACTGGGCGTCCCAAGGTAACAGCAGCAATCCAAACAGGAGGCCATTATGGGACTTCAAGGTATCCTCAGACGCTCAAGCTGAAAAGCGCAGGGTCTGCCAGCATAGCACTTCTCATGAGAGATGCCGCCCTGGGGCAAAGCTGATTTATTTTGGGAGTGTACCCAGAAGTGACAGTTTCTTGGGGTTTCATTTGGGAATGATTTTCTTGATGCCAGATAATGCGGGGGTTCTTTGGTTTATGGAGAAAAGAAACTGTTTTTACCTCAGGGCTTCCTTCAGCATAGGCCAGACCTCCAGGGGAAGGTGTGAAGGACAGTTCTTCTCTGGAGGCTCAGCTGGCAAAGAACCCGCTGCACAAGCAGAAGGACCTGAGCTTGGACCACCAGAGCCCACATCAAAGCTGGGCCTACAACCCCCCACTCTGGGTAGGGTGGCAGCAGAGGGTCCTACAGCTTCGCTGGCCTGTCAGTCCAGTTTCTCAGAGCTACACCCCTCTGAAGGAGCTGCACCAGGTAAGTAAGAGTGCAAGAAACCCTGTCTAAAAAAAATCAGGTGCGGCCGGGCATTGGTGATATACCCCTTTAATCCATGAGAAAAAGGGACCCTCTAAGTGATAAAATAATCACAACAAATGTTATCATCATTGCTGATACAAACAGTGATCACTTATGGTGTGCCACACACATTCCTTCTTACTGCATTGCTAAATATCTTAACATGCGTTATCTTTAGGAGTTGGAGGCCAGTCTGGTCTACAGGGCAAGTCCCAGGACAGCCAGGGCCTCACAGAGAAACCTTGTCTCGAAAAACCAAACCAAAGGGGGAAAAGAATAAGAAGGTGAGGAGTGATAAAGGAAGACACTCAACGACAACCTCTGGCTTCCACGTGCGTGTACACACACCTATGAGCATGCACACACTACATATGAAATAAATAAATCATAAAATAAGACAATAAAATAATATTCGGGATTAGAAAAGCCTGATCCCTCTTGAGGGGTCTCTTCCATCCTAGAAAAGCTTAGAGAAGGGTCCTGGCTTTGAGGCAGTCCCACCTGGCCTAGTTTGGATGTCTGTTTGTTCCATAAACCAAGCACCCGGTTAGAAGTAGGTAAACAAAGAGATTCACATCTCTAAAGATCCTTAAGTAAGGTGGAGAAACTCACAGGTTCTACAAAGCAGGCAAGAAAAAAAGAGGCTGAGTGGGGAATTCAGAGGGTAGAGAAAAATAACACCCACTCATTTCTTCTCCACCTAGGAGGCCGACAAAGCACACATGCCTCATCTTTATTCTACAGCTCATCCTAAGAGGAGACGCTACAGAGAGGTGGCAGAGGCACGGATGGCGTGTGACCAGAAGGCCCAGCACTTATCGGAAAAACTAAAATTGAGGTACAGCGCCTCCGACAATGGTACCCCGAGTGGATGCGCCCGTGTCAGGAAGAGAACAAGACTCATAGCCTTGACTCCTCCGCACCTCCCAGAAGCATGAGGAACAATCCTGTGTCTGGCTCACTTTCTCTCCCTCCTAAAACTGGATCACCACCTCCGTGTGCTGCTGGAACACTCGCCGTCTCTGGAGTCTCAATGCACTGGTCTTGCTCAGGCTTTCCCTAGATGCAGGGACCGAATTCTAGGAGCAGCCTCCATCCTAGTCCTTAGCCAGCTGGGAGATGCTCCTTGCAGGAGGAGGGACAAAAGCACGTGAGGCTCTGATTGGTTCTGCCGGATCTGGAAGGCTTTGAAGCTGGCCAAAAGCAGCGGAGGAGTGAAGTGCAGTGTGGTAATGCCCTGGGCCAAGTGGGCCAGTTCTACAGTCTAGCTCAGCCAAGGATCTGTGACCATGAAAAGATCTGCACCAATAGCAATTACACTGCTTCCCAGGGTTTGCTGGGAGGACTGACAGCATGACCTACGTGAGGAGGCTCCACAGCTGTTGCCAAGTTTCCCTGGCCGGATCTTCCCTGATGCTTAAGGCTCAGCGGAAAGCTTTTTATTCAAGGCACTTCTTGGCACAACTTTCACGATGTCTTTCCTCCTATGCTCTCACATAACTCATACTGACTGCAGCTTCCAATTTAACCATGGCCAGTCACGTTTCTCTACAAGCACCTTTGTGTGTTAGGATTCCCTGTCTGCTTAGACTGTAACACTTTCTGGGGCATCTGTGTTTTATGGGAAGAACATGGGCATTAGAACCAAATAAACCTGGGGTGAGATACTACCACCAGGATCTTGGGGGTTAGGAGTCGTTAACTTCATGAAGGCTTCATTTCCTAAAAGACAGAAAATACGAGTGTCCGGGTGTCTGTGGAGCAAGGTCACGGTCCTGTCCGCCGGCTCCTGTCACGGGAGCTCCTCCCCGAATTCTAGCCCTTCCCGCCAAGGCTGCTGTGGAACTGCTGGCAGCCCGAAGCCATTAGCGTAGGAAGAGGTACCCAGCGGTGGGCACCTGGCTGAGCAGAGTCAGGAAGAACATCCCAACCTTCAAATCACAGCAGACCTCCTCAGCCCCACTTTCTTCCAACACGTCAGATTTGAGGCAGATGTCCAATAAGACAGTTCAGCTCAGAAACCGGAGCCCTGATCTTGACCTGATCCTAACTTTCTCTTCCCTGTTAGCTATTTCTCGCTTTGTGGACAGGCTGCTAGGAGCGGATGAGCCAACTTTCCAAGACTCCCGTGTCCTTCAGGTCCCCTGTGCAGAAGCCTCCTTCCACACACTGCAATTGAAATGAAACACACTGGTACCAAGTACGTTATTTCATTATCAAGATTCTCAGCACCCTATTTACTAACCTCAAGTAACATATGTATTTGTAGGACACTGCATGGATTTTTTTTTAAAAGATTGCCTTTTATCCTTAGTAAAATCATCTGAACAATAAGCAACCTTCTATGGCATTTTAATAACTGCTTAGACCCTGATTATACACATAAGCCACAATTTGCCTACTGACACACTGCCAACATTTTCTTACTCGACCACACACACACTATCCAAAGTGAGCATCCGTTTATACACACTTTATGCGCATCCATGATTATTTGTGTATCATGAAATCTGAGAGAAAGCATTGATTAACGAAGAGCATCCTACAGCTCACAGCGAAGGCTCTAGCATCTTACCTGCCAGTAGGCACGCGTGTGTCCAGCTTCACACCATGCAGAGACCCTCTTTTGTGTTTAAGGTGGGAGGGGGCTCGCTGTAGAGCCCAGGTTGGCCTTGCACTTGTGTTCCTCCCACCTCAGGTTCCTCAGCTGTCACGTTAAGATGACGGGCATGCACCACCATGCCCAGATACAAACAGTCTATCACCCACTTCTATGGTGACTTTGATGAGAAAACTTCTGATCCTTACAATCAGAAGAAGAGAGCCTATGTTCTTATCTTAGGCAAAGAGCAGACAGAGACAAACCTCTGAGCTATATGTATGATGGCTTACCAACTCTGCGGCTAGACTCCAGAGCTTGGCCCAGCACACCTGCACGCAGGCGCAAACACATCTCTGATCACTGTACATCAGGATCTCGCCCGATGCCCAAGAAACCCACTTGCTGTGTAGTTGCTAAGCAAATAAAAGGGCGCGTTGGCTGCATTTATGGCTTTTTGACAACTAGGGAAAACAACTGCAATTAAATGGAATGGCACCCGGAACATAAAAGTTCTGTAACAGAAACTACCACCTGCCAGAACAGTGCCTCATCCTGTTTTCCTGGTGAGCGGGCTCTTCCAGGCTGAGCTCTCCCCCTCCCGCCAACAAAGGAGAGGCATTTCAGGGGGCTTCTTGCATTATGCTAATATTTACTTCACATCAGAAACCTAGTGGAAGATGCATTAAAAAAAAAAAAAGAAACAAACAAAAAGCCAAGATCTCTAGAGACTGAAGCCAGGAGTGTGTTGGTGCCATGCAACATAGTGCCAGGCTAGTATTTCCACTACAACCGCCCCCCCTCCCATAACCCAAAGCCATTACAAACTGAATAACTAGTTAATAGGTTGTTGCCCCCTCTTATTCCAGAAGCATGACTTAAAGATTAAACAGCACACACAGCTATGAGGGAGTCCCTCCACTGTCACTGCCAATCAGCCTGGAAGCTACAGAGGACACTCGAGCATAGACAGTTTTCTCTCCTGCCCTTGTCTAAGTTTCATTGTCTCCATTGTCACTGTTCTTTTTACAGGAAAAAACTACTACAGTCTTCGAATTACAAAAGCCAGAGTTATGAAGATGCTAAAAACTGCGCAAGAGAAGTTATAAAGGGCAGAGCCCAAGACTATGAAGTTAAAAATAACGAGTTAATTCCATAGCTCTTCAAATCCCGAGAGCTTGGCTTTGTATTATTTATGTGCAACTGCCTTTTATTAGGAGACAGAAGCGTGAAACACTGAGCATCTGCCCTTCAGAAGAACTCTTCCATGTCAACTTATGTTAAGTAAAATCTTAAAGAATGAGAAAGCTAGCGTGTGTGGCTTTCTCCACAGATTGAAATAACGCCATTCAGGCATTAGGAGACAACATAAGTGGCCCTTAAAGCTGAACAAGGTCTAACCACTTTTAGATACCAGCTGATCTAAGACCATAAAGGTGTGATGTATGAGGTCACACCATTGAACAGGCTGAGCCAGCATTTTTTTGGTTCCAGGTTCTTCACATCAAATCAAGAAGGCTGTTTGAGACTGTCGCCTGGTCGGGTACTACAAGGGTTGATGGGGTTGTTAACTTGAGTGGATTAGGGAACGTGTGTAACTGACTAAACACACGTGTGTGTCTGCAAAAACGTTGCTAGAGAGGATTGACATGGAAGAAATGGGAACATGGGATGGGGAATGGCCCTCGCCCTCCGTGTGGGCTGTGACATCCCTTCCAAGAGTGGCCAGGATGAAAAGAAGTCAAATGAATGAGCTGAAAATGTGTGTGACCCCTGTCTTCCCTTCTTTGTGAGCAAGTGGCTCTATGGCTGTGTTTGCTCTCCTCCATAGATGTCTCTAGCGTGTTCGGTCTTTCACGGGAACCTAATAACACTGTCTCTCCAGGGGTGGGCACTTCTGGGTTTTCATGCTAACTCGGGATGCCTGGGCTCCCTGATTCTTGCCTCTCTAGTACATAGACAGCCACTGTTGGATTGTCCAGGCACCACAGTATAAGACCACCTAGGAGACTCTGTTTTATAAGCAGTATTTCTATCTGCACACGCATATGCACATCCCTGTGGTCCCATTTCTCTAGAACACCTGTCTAATACAGACACAGGACGTTTTGTCTTCTAGGACTATTGCTGCTGTCAGTTCATGACTCTCTGGGTTTCTCAGCCTGTACACCATAGCCCTGTCTTTTTAGTCTCCTCCACAGTTTTGTCTTTTCTCTCCAAGACCAACTGCATCTCAAAAGGCATGATGAACAACACACGTGGGTCCGTGTGGTAAGACAGGAATTAAGTTCTGAACTCCCAGTGGTGCAAGGACACAGCTCTGTCCTGACAGTCAGGCTTGACTAATTACAGGCCACTCCCTCCTTGGCAGACTCTGAGATGGGGTGCACAGACTGAGGACCTGCTCATCCATCTGAAGGTTCAAATTCTTTAAACTAAGGGCTGGAGAGATAGATAGCTCAGCAGTTAAGAGCACTTACTGCTCCTGCAGAGGACTGGAGTTTGGTTGTCAGCACCCGCCTGATGGCTCACAATGGCCTGTAACTCTAACTCCAGGGGATCACATGCCTTCTGCTGGCCTCTTTGAGTGCTAGTTACACACAGGGTGCACATACAAACACCCAGGCACACACACACACACACACAAAAATACTTAAAACTAGGTTCTGTACATGTGTTGATGAGACTGTATTAACCCTTGCCCTGCCATTTATTCATAAGATTTCACTTAGGCTCTGCCCTCCTTTATGCCCCCATTTGGCTTTTTATACAAGGGCAGGGCTCTACCAGTCCTAAATGCTGCAGCCTATCATTTAAGAAGGGATGATAATTACCATGAAGGGGGAGGCAGGGATGAACTCAGAGAGTCTGCTATGCAAACCAGTCAGTCTGGGTGGTAGAAGAATCAGATTCCAAATGGGTGGGGGTACGTTTCGGTGCAAAGAACACCCTGATAGCCATGAGCGACTGGCGGGACTAGGAAGACAGAAGCCAGTGACAGACAAAGCAGCAATGCACAGAACAAAGCAGGGGGTGTGAGAATCATGGGCCAGGACCCAAGCTTCCTAGTAGATAAAGCACTCAAGGCGCTGGCTCCATTCTGGATTTGTATCCTGCTAGGATTAACAGGGGTTAACAGCATCACTGAAACACTGGCTGAAATGTTGTCCTGTCAACAGGGCTCTAACTGTTGGATCACACTGGTTCGGAAACAGTTCTGTCACATGGTGAAATGATTAAAAAAAAAAAAAGCCTTCTCTGCTTGATCTTGAAAGACTGGCCCAAGGGATGGCCATTGTCTGTGCAGTGTGGAGCCCACCTGGAGTACTGAAGCCACCCTCTGCAGCTAGCACTGTCAGCCTGACTTTCGGGCAGTTCCCAAGCTCATGGTCATCCTGCAGCTTTTGCTATTGCTGGGCTCCAACACAGCACAGCCCTGGGGTCAGCCTCCCCATGTGTGGTCACCACAAACCTGTATTTTGACAGTGACAATTTTCTATCAGAAGACAGTATGGGTTTTCAGGAAAGAATGGTGAAAGTGTCATGTGGCTTAATGCCACGGCTGCCCCTCCCAAACCACGTGACAGCACAGGACACGAAATAGTTTACATTGCCTATCCTCATATTAGCCCAAATCTACCACTCTATCCGGGGCTCCCAGATCTTGCATAATTGCTATCAAGGTAACAAACTTTTAAAAATCAGTAATACCAAGAAGACATGAGATCCCACAAGTAACGGAAGTCCATCCATATTCCGGCAGTGATCACCTACGAACATCCTGCTATTAGCCTAAAAGAATGCAAAAATTTTTCCCCAGGCTCAGTAGGAACTTCCAGGAAGTTGTGTCAAGCCCTGGGTCCAGGAACAGCCTTACTAAGGGTAGATAACAAGGTTAAAGGTAAAGCCCAGACGCGTGACCCAAATCTGGAGCATTTTACAAAGTACAGTGGAGACCCAGACTCCTGGTGACGAGAAGAAATGAGTTCCCATCTATGTTCCACGTAAACAGGTCACACTAAAGGACTCCATGAAATGCTAATGATCTCTGCTCAGACTAGACTACAGTTTTTTGTTTGTTTTCTTTATCTAAAGTCAGGTTTACAGAGGTGTAATTCTTCTAGTACATTTTACCCCTGTATGGGTGGGGAAAGCAAGTATGATCACAGTATTCCCATTACAAGAGACAGAAGTCACCCTTAATATTTCCCGATGCTCCATTTCAGCTGGAACCTTGTCCCTAGCCCATATCAATCAAATGACATCATAGTTCTCTATACTTAAAAATGAGTTTCTACACTATAGAATTTCCCTCAAATATTTATCACATTTCTTTGATTTTAAAGCATATATACACCGGTGCCAGATTTGAACACTTAAATTAGAATACATTTAACCATCGATAACATTTTAGGTTATATTTGACAACACTTTTCTCTTTTGAGATGTGTAACTATATATATTACAATATATGGAAGTCTTTAAAAAAACAATGAGGTACAACATTTATTCTTCTTAATATTTACTAAGGCTAAGTGTTCTTCCAGGTGCTAGAAATATTGATACTCTGTATTTCTTTTATATGTATATATTGAGAATGGGAGGGAGTCACACAGACATCATTAAACCATCATGTGGCCATGTCTATAAGCAGAGGATTTTCTGCTCAGTGGGACCATATAGAATTCTCTCTTGATGGCCACATTTCTTCTTTCAGGAAACTTTTCTCCAGATCATTGCTCACACAGACACAGGAAGTAAGGTTGGAGGAGCTATCACTCAGCTTCATTCTGCTAGAGCCAACAATGAGTTCCTGTTATACCCTCTGACACTTGCCTGGGAATAATCCAATGGTCTCTGCCACAATGTGCAGCTGTGGTAGAGAAGTCTCATTTTAGCATTTAACAGCTGCAAGGCTTTCAAGATGATAGCGAAAGAGAAGTCTCTGGAAATAATGGCCCCGTCTATGAAGATCGGACCTCCCAAATCCTCCACATGCATACTTCAGGTCCTCACAGTTTTTCCTCCAGAAAAATTTTCAAACTTTTTTGGGGAGGAGGGAAGAGCTGGGGATTGAACTCAAGGTCCTGTGCATACCGGGTGAGCACTCTACCACTGAGCTATATTCCCAGCCCACGCCTGGATAGCTTTTAAAGGGGATTACAGAGAAGAAACGTCAGTGCTCTTACCTGACTCCTGAAAGTGCTCTTCTCCGGACAGAGTTCTAGACAAGATAAGTATTAGCGCTTCTTTAAATTGGTCAAAATGTACCTAAAAAGCAATTAAAAATAAATTTAAGATCATCTCCCACAGCCCCAAGAATGCAAATCCATCTGCAAGGCATCTGAACCGTCTGTTCCCAACCTGACAGCCTTGAAGCAAATCATCACCCACGTCTGTTCTCTTTTCCCTTTCTCTCTAAAGCATGGGAGGAAAGACGGGCTGGTCCTTACTGATGTCTAAGAAGAAGGATGGGCTGGTCCTTACTAGTGTCTAATACCATGAACACTCCTGTGTTTATACAAATACGATTATCTATAGCTCCCGGGGAGAAAGCGAAGCTACAAACCCTCTGTACACTCAGGAAAAGATACGTTTTCAACTTTCAACTCCTTTTACCTTTTAAACAAGATCAGAAGAGAAAGGCGTTAGGTTCAACGTCAGGAAAAACTCCCCAAGTAAATGACCCCTTGTCATGTTGGCCATAGATACTTTGATCTCGAGACAGAGTAGAAGGGAATAAACACTTTTGAGGAAAAACTTAATACAGTTTTGCCTAGGGCAGGTATATAATATTTATCTCCCAGATCCCCATGAGTATATAAACAAGCAAAATTCAATGTTAAACACACAGGAAGCAAGAAGCCCGAGACACCTTTCATCAGTTCATAAATCTATAATAAATCTATAATTGCCTTGATGAGGAACCCAGCCTGACTTAGGGGAATACCCGTCAGAAGTGCTTACAAGGGTAAAAGTTCTACTACACCTTCAGTTTCTGTGACCTTGGCCTGGGACAGCAGGGACAGGTGATATTTCTAGTCAACATAATTCTAGTCTAAATGTGTGGCGCTTCCTTTCCCAGAATTCTATACAGTATAAGACAAGATGAAAGCTGGTTAAGTGTGAAATTTGTACCACTATGGGATCCTGTGAATGCCATTTCTCAGCACTGGCAGGTGTGCCTGGCTTTTGACACTGGGACACAGTGTTTTCATCCACAAGGCTCATGCTTGAGAACAACAATGGAGTTGTTTTTGTTTTTTTTTTTAATGGGAAAAAAAATCCCAGAAATGTTTTAAGTAAGTTTATGATTTTTGTGTTGGGCTATGCATGGATAGACATTTCAATATAGAAGATAAATAAATTGAAAAAACGGTTCCAAATTAAATTTTGGAACTCAACAAATCATATCAGTTATCTAAACACTGGCAAAGTTCAAGGACTGTCGCATCTGCACACAGCACAGGAGAGCAGGAGTCCATTTTGAGACTGAATTAGGAGTCAGGTTTAGTGGCTGCAGCCGGTAACTCAACTACTAAAGAGGCCACAAATTTGAAGTTTTCCAAAGTGACAGAGTAAGTTCCAGGCCAGCCTGAATAACAAACACATCAATTGTGGTGCGTACCTTTAATCCCAACACTCAGGGATACAGGCAGGCAGATCTTGTGAGTTAGTTCTAAGCTGACCTGGTCTACAAATCTAGTTCCAGGACAGCCAGGGCAACACCAACCCTGTCTTGGGGGGGATAGACTGTATTTATAATTATAAATATAATTTGGTAATTCTCCCAATGTTGATAGGAATTCTACTACATTTTGATTCATTAAAACTTCCCCCAAATTATATTTCTTTTAGAGCTTTAAATTTTTTTTTAAATTACTTATATTTATGTGTATATATAAACGTGTGTGCCTACTTGCTTGTATGTGGATGCAGGTGCCCATCATGGCTAGAAGAGGGCACTGGAGCTTCTGGAACTGGAGTTACAGGTGGCTGTAAGCTACTGGGTATAGGTACTAGGAGCCAAACCCAGGCCTTCTGCAGGAGCAGCAAGTGCTAGCTATGGGGACATCACTTCAGCCCCTATGTTCCTTTTAGATCACGTGGGCTTTACTTAATATCCTATTGTTGTTAAGGAGTATAACTTGATGGTTTGATACATGTATAGATTGGGATAATTACCACATCAAGTGATGCAATGTCTTCATCACCTCAGTTACATGTTTTAGCATGTGTGTGTGCATGTGTGTGTATGTGTGTTACCCTCCAGCAAATTTCCTGTAATTATGGACTTTTGAAGTCAACATACTAAAGAAACCATGAACAGAAGTCTGCCCAGGGAAGCAGAGCATCTGCTAAAGCAATAGGTTGGTCCATGAAATAGTGAATCAATTGCAGGAGTGTAAGCTGTGCTAATTTGAGGTTTGCTGCTGACAAATCATCTTCAAACCTCAGGAAGAAAGAAGCACACAGTCCTGGCTTCAGAAATAGACTCAGGTAGGCACAGTGCCACCCGGGTGAACTGGAGTTCACCCCAACAGCCAGTTTACAGCATCACACATCCGGGCGCTCAGTCCAGCTGACAGGGGTCTCCGAATCGGAGAGGGTCTGCTGCTCACTGCCCTCTGTGCCCTGGCTAGCTTGCTGCTCTGAGCTTTATTCTGATCTGCAACACTGGGGCTCTCTACCAAACATCTCGTATGATTCATCTGGCAAGTATGTATTGAGCAGCCGCTATGTGCCAGACACTAAACCTTAGGAACACAGCAAAGATGAGACACAATCTGCTGTCTTCAAGAAATTCAGATTCCTAGGAAATGTCAGGCAGGTACTGAAGAACGCTTCATGCATTTATGATTTTATAACACTACTTCCCGAAGCAGTGCTAGGGAGGTAAAATAAAAAAATTACATGAAATGTCTAGAACATTCTGGGACTCAGTCAGTCCCCATAAGTGGTAGTTAATACTAACGTATATAATCCTGGGTTGACTGCTCCCAACACAGAGAAACAGGGTCCTATTTGAAGCACAGCAGAGGGCTGCCTGAGTGACGTAGTCAAGTTCCAAGAGGGTAGGAAGGCAGTGGGGAGATCCTGGGGCCAGTCCACTCCAGAGAGCCGTAGAGTTGCTCGGAATTAGAAAAATTGAGCTGGTCTGTCGTACGTGGAGACCCCTAACTTTGAGTTTCCTGGCTTCATTCCTTCATAGAGGGCCCGGAAGGAAGCCTCTCTCTCCCCTACCTGCAGTGATGACCTAAACAGGAGACCTACTTGAAAGGGGGGCATTTGTCCTGAGAAATTCAAGCCCTTTCTATGGGACTCTGCAGGTCTCTGTGGGGTTTCTAAAGGTCTGTGTTTTGATAGTTATAGATGAGTCTTTCTGGGAACTGGGCATGGTGATGAATGCCTGGGAGGTGGAGGCTTGAGAGTTCAAGGTCGCCTCAAACTTCGGGGAGGCAGTTTCAGGCCAGCCAAGAGTCAAATGAGACTCTGCCTAGGCAGGTGGATCTCTGTGAGTTTGAGGCTAGCCTAGTATACAGAAGGAGTTCCAGGACAGCCAAGGTTACCCAGAGAAATGTTGCTTCAATACCCTATCCCCCTCTGTCTTCCACACACACACACACCCCTGCTGACCAAAGAAAATTCAGCCTTCATTGCTGTTTGGTGCTGACTCTTCAGTTCAGTAAAGTAGAAGCTAAGGTCGCCCTGGGGTCTACAAACCTCCCCTAACACAAGGCACAGGCATCTCTATACTCTGGAATTACTTCAAATCAACGCCAAAGGTCCTGTGTGGGGCTCAAGTCTCCCTGACTACAGCGCAACAAGTAGAAGCATTTGGGATGGTAGGTCCCTAATCTCACAACCCCGATTATCTAATTATCTACCATATGGCCTGGCGGAGAGGAAAGCAAAGGAGCCGTGTGTGGTTCCAGCTTAAAGTACATCTGTCATGAGAAACACAGGATAGATAGGGCCAGTGTAGGAACCCTCTACTCTAGCTTGTTGTTTTAAGATTTAGTTATATTGGGCGGTGGTGGCGCACACCTTTAATCCCAGCACTCTGGAGGCAGAGGCAGGTGGATCTCTGTGAGTTCAAGGCCAGCCTGGCCTACGAGAGCTAGTTCCAGGTCAGGCTCCAAAGCTACAGAGAAAAAAAAAACCTTAAAAAAAGATTTAGTTACTTTATAAGTATGCGTGTATGTATACATACTTTATATGTATATGTATGTATATATAACACATATGTGCTTGGTGCCCTCGGAAGTTGAAGTCAGAAAAGAATGCTGGGTCCCATGGAACTAGAGTTGTGCTTGTGAGTCACTGTGTATGTGCTAGGATTCTAAGCCTGGTTCTCTGCAAGAGCGTGTGTTCTTAGCTACTGAGCAATCTCTCCAGTACCTACCCCCTACACACACATACCACATACACATACATGCATACACACATGCACGTGCACACACTCGCATGCATGTGCACACAAACACACACACATTTTTGGTTGTTATTAAGACAGCATCTTACTATTGACCTCCAACTTACAGAGATCCCCTGGCTTTCGCCTCCAGAGTGCTAGGATTAAAGGTGTTTTCCACCACACCTGGCCCTACTGCTTTCACACAACATCATCCTGCTGTGACCCAGGATTACAGCCCAGAAACAGCAAGCAAAAGACAGACACCGCCAAGGACATAAAGTAACTACTGACATTAACCAGCCTTCCTCACAATGGATGATGTTTCTATAATTTTTTTAAAAAGCTCTTTTAATAATTCTATGTAGCCTATTTTTTTTGTAGCCTATTTTTTAAAAGATGAAGTATATGCACTCCAAAACTAATAGGCTGGAGTTGTTTAGTTTTGGGCAAAACTAAACACGCTGCTAAATGAAGCCTGAGGTATCTCTTTTCTACTATATTGAAAAAGCTAATAGGGCAAAAATGATTAAGTACAGTATAATTATGTGTATATATACTCTTTGATCAAATAAAACTTACACCAATTTCTTTCACTCTCCAATGGTCAATCTACCTCCCCCTGTGTTAGTACCTGGGATAAAGAATTCAGTTGGAAAGTGTTATCCATGAACGTCTCCAATAATCCCAGGTGAGTAGAACCATTGATGGTTTTCTCTAGGCAGCTGGTCTTTGAATTTCACAACATCCACCTGAGAGCCCACCTCTAAGTCTAGAAGATGATTGCTGAGAGAAGGCATGTGCCGTGCTCCTGGCCACGAGTCTTAGATGTGGCATTACGTGGGGAACCAGGCCT